CGGTATCGTTATTTTTCACCGATAATTCAGATAAAAATTACGGAACACCGTGGAAAAATTCTGTGACTTTAGATAAAAATTACGTGACAGTTCCGTTAAATTCCCGACAACCACATTTCGCCCCAGAATTACGGAAAGTACACGTAATTTTTATTGAATAATAATATTTCTCTCAGTGTATATGCACATATTCTGGGCAAAAATCCAATCCAAATCCAAAGCCTTGAAGATGCAGACTTCAATATTTGCGAAACGTTGGCAAATCGTGGAAATTAACCGCGGCATCCATCCGGAAGTGGATTATATAGTAATTATGGTCGCGAAAGCGTCAAAACTGAGATGTCGCATATATACCACACACATTAGCATATATATATATTATTCCCATGAGGGATGTATTCAATATGTGTTATATATAATATTCTGGCACCTAAAGATTGCGAAATACGCGTCATGTTCTAGTGAATGACCAAATGCCCTGAAATTTCAATGGCAGTTGAAAAATCCCGACAAAATTTTTGAAAAGTCACCATTGTTCCCTCACCGAGGGAACAATTGATTCGACATATTCACTGACGTATAAATTTTGGTTGGCGCATTTTCGATTGATAAACTGCACGAGACAAATTCATTAGTCCCGACTGAAACTTTGCGTTTTCAATAGAGAGAAGAGTTTTAGAATTTTCCCTGGGGACTGAGAGAGACCTGACATCGATCTGGATATCCTTGAACGTAAAAATATATATGGGGTGATATTTCTCACGTCGGACCACCTGTCGATTGCAATTCACCCCAAGTAAACTCAATAATTCATCAATTAGTTAATTAAATTTACACCCTACAACAAACGAATTGTCATCCTAGACGGAGAAAATGATGATTAGAAAATTTACTCACATACAATTTCCATCCAGAAAACCCTTGACCAGTGAGGACTATCTGAAAATGACATTAAAGCATTAGAAAGGTGCAATCCAATTTCGTACCTTTGCTCAATTATAATTCAACTCGATTGTGAGTTCATTCGGAAGGATAAAAATGCTTTCGAAGGTCGAGGCACTGGAAAAAGCGTGTGATAATTGAAGAAAAGAGGCTGAAAGAAAAGTGGCTGAAGGTAGAAAAGCTTTTAGCATTTGCTATTGTATCAGAAATTGATGGAAATCGTGATGAGAATTTATATGCTGATAAAAAAAGTTTATTTCTTCCCAGGAAATTTTCCTCGATAAAGGACATTATTTGGTCTATTTTCCGTCAGTTGATAGCAAAGATTCATTTAATTTTATATTGAGAATTTCCTTTGTGCCAAGAATTTTCACATTTATCGACTAAATAACGTAATTCAGTAAATTTTATTACATTGATATTTATTATTCATTTTTTGTTGAAAATAATTCCAAAGAATTTGATTTACTGGGAAAATCGGAAAACCTCTGTTTGGCAAATTTATTTTCCTCATTTCGTGTTCAGGAA